CATATATTCTTAGTCTATATTTAATAGTTGGATATGCAAATACGTTTTCAAAATCTTTATATTTTACCCCATAAATATAAACGACAGTGACAGCCATTGGAGAAGAAACAATGATTTACTGATGATGGTAGTTTTGTTAATCGTATTCGTCATTTAGCAATGCACATACATGCTGCAGCTACATGGTTGTAGCACGAATGTGTCGGCTCTACCGTGTAAAGACCTAGCTCTCATAGAATAGTAAAGTAATGTAAAGTAAAATGAAGGCTTCGTGGCGTAGTCGCTCAGTAATTGAGTTGCAGCGCTAAGGGCCGCGGGTTCGAATCCCGCACGGAACAAGTATTTGTATGGCCTACAAATAATTGTTCCGGGTCTGGATGTTTGTCCTTGTGCAATTTATGTTTGTAAACTGCCCCCACGATACAGGAGGAAATCCTAGTGTGTAGGTTACGTTTTTCAAAAAAAAAAAGCCTATATACGTCCCACAGCTGGGCACAGGCCTTCTCTTATTTCTGAGAGGGTTGTAGGGCAATGAAACGTCGACCGCGCTGCTCCAATGCATGTTGGCGGACTTCACATGTCTTCTTTCACCGCCGAGCACGTGGTAAATCAGCACTTAAAATTGCAATTAACAATTTTATTGTTTTCGGCGGGCATCGAACCCGGATTGGTCGCGTGCTGTGAAATTTACAGCGAGCGCTCAGCCCCTGAGATATTACGGCTCTGATTTGAGGCTTCTGATTCTCATAGAATACCAGCGTAAAATAGCAGCTTAATGCCGATGTGTTTCGTATGGTGAGTCTAGAGATCCGGGGACCCATTTTACTGGAAACAATGCATCTTAGTTCTCTTAGGTGACAACGCATCTGCGTTTTTAATCGATGATAGATGTACATGTCTATGGGCCACAGCAACCACTTACCATAAGGTGGACTGTGTGCTCGTTTGTCTTTTTCTTCGGAGTGTAAAATCAGTAACGAAGGTACCTGCAAGGGTCAGAGCGGGTAAGAAAGTCGAATTCTATATCAAAGTGTACGAGATTAGAAAGAAAGTTGTCGAGTGATAAGCACAGTGCAAGAAAACTGTTTTAAGTCACATTCTTTGTGGCAGGCCTGTTCTCTGCAATACAATAACCTATAATGATTTGCAATAATGATAGGGACAATTTTCATAATTGTAATTTTTACTTTTTTATTTACTGTTGTATTCTAAGACCAAAGCTTATTATTAACTGCATGTGCAAGGGTTAATATAAGTAGATTAGAAACACATTAATAAAAGATAACAAATTACGGTTATTTGACACATAAGTCTATGTTATGCGACAAATAAAAAATAATGTTAGTTTATCCACCCACATTGGTTATAAATTAATAGAATCTGCCCTCATCCTCGTGACGTATAATAATAGTTGATTGGTCTTGTGTGAGGTATTTTTTTACATCTTCCTCAGTTTCCTCGTATATCGTTGCTAAATGTATTTATATGGGTAATAAAGATATTTGTTAAGATAATGCTTTTTTATTATACTTTTGAACAAGTATTTGTATAACTGAATTGAATATAAACCTGTAGTTTCGCAGTGAATTTCTGCGGAATTTAGAAAAATTTAATATTGATACATTAAGACATAATATGTATAACAAAAAATATTCATAATGACAGCAATTAACAGGTTATACGACTCCCTTTTCTGCCGACTTCAAAAAGGAGACGGTATTGAATTCGACTATATGGTTTTTTTTTGTTATGTGTGTTACCTCATGACTTTTTACTGGGTGAACCGATTTCGATTATTCTTTTTTTATTTGAAAGCTGCTACTTCACATTTGGTCCCATGTGTATATCTAATATGATCAAGGTCTGCCCAATAGTTTTTGAGATATTCTTAATTATCTATATTAAAGTGGGTTGTACAAAATTTTTAATTTTAAATTATTGTATCTATTCCTTATTTCCGTTTTCAAACAGCATCTCATTTATGTTTATATTTTTTATTTATGTAAGAGTAGGTATCAAACGACCACGTCTATTTGTTGGTTAATTGATTCTACGGCCTAAATATACCCTTGTTTAAGAATCAAGCCATGGTAACTCAAGGGCTAAGCGCTCGCTGTTAATTTCACAGTACGCGAGCAACCCGGGTTCGATTCCGGCCGGCACCAATGAAATTGTTAATTGCTATTTTAAGTGCCGATTTACCACGTGCTCGGCAATGAATGCAATATCCGTAAGGAAACCTGCATGTCTGAGAAATAAGAAAAAAAATATTTCGAAGACATGAGAAGTTGGTCAACACGCATTGGGGCAGGTCTTTTCCTTACCTTACTCAAAACCCTTTCAGAAATGACAAAAGGCCTATGGCCAGCAGTGAGGACGTATGTATGTAACTTTAAGAATTGAGTTGCAGTAACTAAGTTATCACTCTTAAAACTAAATTGAAATGCCTTGTTACCAATAAATAGGGTCTCCGGTTCTCGTCCTTCCCTATAGAATCGCAGGACGCTGGTGTTCTGTGTGAGCGTGGTTATTTCGCGATTGAGCCGGCCCATTAATAGTACTGCAGCCGTAATGTAGCTGCAGCTTAGCTCTACCATGTAAAATATAGTACTACATCCTCAGAGTTTTTCACAGCTTTCTTTCTATGTAATTGATTTTAGCAGGGTTCAAAACTGCAAGAGTTCCTTAATTCGACTGTTTGTTCTTTTTTGTCTATATGTTACGCCATATTTTAGTAATTTATGAACCGATGATAAACATTCTTCAAATAGACCGCAATGATTCTTCTAATTGATTTGCTACCCTCGTCCCATTTGTATAGATAACTAAGCCTAATCGTCGGTATACTTTCCTTACTACTTTTGACTTGCAAGTTCACAGGAAGTATTCTTCATATTGTGATCCCCTAGTAAAATGTACCTGTACAATTTTCGTATATACAGGTTTATTGATTAATAATATAAAATAATATCGACATTATTAATAACTAGCTAATCAATTTTAAAAAAATCCTTTTTAGATACACTTTGTGAAGTTGCTTCAAAGCTTCAGTAACATCGTCATCGTCAGCCTATCTCAAGTAGCAGGTTTAGGTTACACAGGTAGCCTACTTAGTTAAATATAGGCCTCCTCAAAGAATTGCACAAAGCATGGTCCTGAGCTACATACCTTTTACGCTTTTATTTTAAGAAACTAAAAAAAATTCAAGACATGTGAACTCTGCTAAGACGCATTAGAGCAGCGGGGCTGATTTGTCACTGTTCCAAAATCCTCTCAGAAATTAAAGTGTACCCACGCCTAGGCACAAGCTATTTTTGAGTGGTAGTGTATTCCTTAATAAGTCATATTTTTGAACGTCATGGTTATAATTTCATGTAACTTAGGACTAAACAAGAGACTAAAATTATAAAGTTTAATATTCTTTGTTTTTTTTTTCATTTAGTACCAGTATACAGTGGCGGCATTAAATCCATCATCCTATGATATCCTTGTAGATGTCTCATGATGTGTTCGTCATATTTTTCATGTAGTGGGCTTTGTTGAGTGGTTTTTATCGGTGGCGTTTACATCTTCCAATCAAATTTTGTAAAGTGATAAATAAATTTAAAAATAAAACTAGAGTTCGATTAATACGAGAACAAAATTGATAAGAAATCCTGACATTTCTCTCTGAATTGGGCATCATTCGAGAGATCATGCGAGAAGTACACCTTTACACAACGTGAAACTTTTAAGGATTAGAGAATATTAAAGTAAATATTTTTATTAATTTAAAATCAACAATATTGTTTTGTAGATTTTGTAGTATAGATTAAATTTCTTTATGTTTAACTGAAATTTACGACCTACTAATTTTATGAGCCGTAGTAGCTCAACTTTCACAGTATGCGAACAACTCGGGTTCGATCCCCGACGGCAATTGTTAATTACAATTCTAAGTGCTGATCTATTACGTGATAGGTGGTGAATGAAAACATTGTGAGAAAACCTGCATGTCTAAGAAATAGAAAAATATTTCGAAGACATTGCCCAAAAACCATCTCAGAAATGAGGGGAGGCCTGTGCCCAGCAGTGGGACATATAATATATAGGCTGTAACTTTAGTTTATTTGTACAAACGGTTTCCAAATATATGGCAGAAAGAATAAATATTTTTTAAAACTTTAAACCATTCCAGATCTTATATTTTTGTTACTGCAAGCTTAACAAAATATAAGAAAAAAAAATTTAAGGCGGTTTCAAAAATATAAGGAAGTTTTATTATAAACAATAGTTAATTAATTTAACTAATGCTTTGTTTCTTAATAATTTTTTGTATATTTAACTAATTATTTTACAACAATATTGAAATACTTTTAAATTTAATAAATATTTGTTCTCAATTCACATGATTATGTAAGCTATTTTTATATAAAAATGTGAACAAATATTTTTCAAATATTTTTTGTAAAATGAATACCAAGGTGGAATAAAACAATGACATTTTAGTAAATAATTTAATAACCTCATTATGTAACACTAATATTTACAAAGGCTAGAAATTTATAAGCCTTGATAATATCGATAATGGTTAACGATGAACTACAAAAACGTCCAATACAGCTTCATGTGTACACACTTATCGATCTCTTTTGTAAACTTATCAGCTAAAATGTCTAATATCATTAAGGCACTATGGTATGACTAGATACATTAAGAGTCTTTTCGTCTTAAAAAATAATGTGGGACAATTAAATTAATGCACATTATTTCGGAGGGATTCGTCCAAACTTGATTCTGAACGTCGATTGCCTGTGGACAAAAAATAATAGGTTAATATCTCTCGTAATTAAATAAAGATACGGGTTAATCGGTTTTTATTTAAAATTGACTTTTAAACAAAGAATTTTTGAATGAGAAATATATGTGATATGATGATGATTCCTTAACGTTGCTGTTATTATGAGAACAACCAGTTAATAAAATAATAATATATCAGACAAAATAACTTACACAATTAGTTATTTCTGTTGCCACCAGGAAATAACGTCCAGAAGTTCGTCTTCATCCATGGGCCCAAGTTGCTGCTGCGTCGATACTTCGTATCGATCTACTGGGGAATACGCTGATGAAACTCCTGAAGAGCACTCTGAGGGCGCTGGAGAATCGGCTTTCTCTGAACACGGTGAATCATTTCCGTAGAAAAATCCGTCGTCCATGTCCATTGTGCTAATCGACTGGCTGTTACTACTCGGAATATTTTCCCTATTTTCCTGATCACGTGTTATGCCTAAGGCGGCATCACTTTCTTCTAATAGCTGCTGAAGGTATCTTATGTATTCAACTACCATTCTTAATGTATCTACTTTGCTTAGTTTCTTTCCTGATCCGCGTCTAGCGCCACCTGACAGAGCGGCAACAACAGACGCAGGTAAGTGACGTCGAAGTGCATTGAAGCCGTCATTAACTTGTTTCACACGGTTACGTTCACGAGCATTCCGTCTGGCAATCGAAGCGGCTTGTGGTCCTGTATAAGGATTTGTCTTAAAGTGCACTTTTTTCCTATACTGCAGATGCGGCGGTGTATCGTGAGTTACATAATTTTTTTCCGGCGCTGGAGCTATAGGTACGATCCGTTTCTCTACAGGTGTTTTCGTCATTGTCGCAGATGGATATCCAGACGAGACCACGACATAATTAGCTTGGCCCTGGACAAGTTGAATTTCTTGTAGCATTTTACGTGTTTATTACGCGGGCGCTCGCGATTTATAAACGCACACAACCGGTCCGCTCGGTGGGCGGAAAAGCACTGGCGCGATAAAGGGAGGCTTCGTCAGAGCTTTGGGTTGTAAGGTAAGAGCGAGCGGCGGCAATGAAGCTTCACGCACAAGTGAGTCGGCGGCGCACGCGCACGCGTTATATCACCTGCGCCGGCTGCAAAAAATATAAATTTTAAAATTCTCTTCCCCTATTATTTTCCATCATCCCTTCCCCTTTGTACGTACGGGTCGGTACCTGGTGTGGTAGTTAGGGGAGTGCTGTGGAGCGCGGGGAGTGTTAAGGCTAACGCGTGCCCACTTTTTTCTATTGACCATTGAACAAATAAACACTATTTTAAAATATGATTTATACTTACATTTATTACGACAAAACGTTAAAGAATTTGACTCAAACCCATAAAATACCCACAGTCGTGGAGCTGCGGAAAGTAGCCCGTATAACAATCAACATTTAATTTTGTTCCAGAAATAGTATTGTAATGCTCCCATGTGCGAGTATATTATAGAACAATACATTTTTTCTTTGGAACGTGTTTTATCAAATGTAAGATATATCTTGAAACGTTTACAGATTTTCCGGATACACAAAGTTGTGTCAACAAACTATGTCTTCTGAATCAACGTCATCACCATCATCAACGTTATAGCCCTTCATAAGACCACTGCTGAACATAAGCTTTCCACAAGGAATGCCGTAAAATACGGACCTGAGCTATGTGCATTTATTGAGATCCTGCGTGTCTTACTTGGCCGCTACCCCATCTAGTTGGGGGTCCTTCTAAACGAATCGTTTCTTAAAGGTAGAATCAAAATAAAACAATAATACTTTTGTATATTATATATTCCGATGAGAATAAAAGGGTTAAAAGGTTACATAACGTGATAGTAAATTTAATAAGGTCTGATTTGAAATGTTACACAAGACTAAATTGTTGGGCCGACATCATGCCTAAAACCGTTGGATTATAATTTAAATTATCACACTACATTTTGTATAAAACTCCAATAAAATGCATTGATTATGACTTTGCATTTTTTTAAATCTTTTAATTTCCGTAAAGATCTTTCGAAAGTTCAAATATCTTGGCATGTCGAACATATTTCACATAGCAATTAGTTATTTTAAAATTATACTTCGGAATCGTAATGTACGTGAGAAAAAACGTTTTAGGCGTAAAATATGTCGGAGATTTAGTAGTAGGTAGCGTGGAAGTAACCTCTACAGTGATAAGCTCGGAATGCACACTAAACGTTCTAAGCATTTTTCAATCAGAACCGTAGCGAATATGCTGTAAATTGCAGCTTTTTGTGATTATGGTGATATTTTATGTGTTGGCCGTTTAATCAAAAGTTAGAGCGGCTTCCGTCTATCACGATTGCACTAATTTAATAACTCTCATGCAATTAGTTCGGCTTAACTAATTTAAATGAAATGGTGTTTCAAACGGTAGTTGTTTTCATTAGCGGGCACTTAGTAACGGGATTGGCCTTTGATTCGTTCTGATAAGTGTTTAATTTGGCGTAACGGAATTCAGTATGTACTTATAACTTTTACGAGTATTTATTTACATATACATTACACATACATATACATTACACATACATAAACATTACACATACATATACATTACACATACATATACATTACTACTAAAACTTTTTCGGAGATCGATTCCAGTTTTAAGAAAACATAATCATTATTCATCATCTTCATTACAGCGCTTCACAAGTCCACTGCTGAACCTAGCCTCTAACCTGGCCTCCGCCAAAGAATGAAACAAAGCACGATACTGAGCCACCTGCATCTAACATATAACCGTTTATGAATTAAAAAGGCCAGAATTTCGACGTTTACATCAAGATACGTTTTAGACAGCGAGTGGACAGCCGGATTAATTACCAGTTATGCATCAGAGATTAGCAATACCATGAGATATTTAGTGGTGTAACTTGTCTAGGGAGGCATTTGATAAGTTGTGCTGATCAACGTTAGGGAACTTAAGTTTATATTTAGGACAAATTAAAAAAAATACATTTAAAAGGTTAAATTAGCAATAAAATTGCGTGGCTAAAAGATGAAAACTTACTTACTTACTTATCTTCACGCACAATCCCTGACGGGGTAGCCAGAGAGAACAGATCGCCAAGTCTCACGATCCTTACAAACCTCTTTCGCTTCTTTCAGATTCATTATCTTCTTCATGCATGCACGTCTAGGTATCCGAGTACTCTTGACCCTACCCTCTTCGAGCAATTTGCTCACATGGTCTTCGAAAGTTAGTCTCGGTCTACCTCGACACCTTTTAATATTAACTTTCGCGCTATATATTTTCTTCACCATTCGGTCTTCACTCATTCGCTCAACGTGCCCAAACCACCGAAGCACGCCCTTATCAATTTTTGTGATAAGGTCATCTTTCAAACCTGCCATATTGTGAATCTCTTCGTTTCGCTTTCGGTCGGCCATGGTAACGCCGCACATTTTATGAAGAGATCGCATCTCCACTGCATTCAACTTGCTTTTATGCTTCTTCTGGCATACCCAGGTTTCGCTGCCATATAACAAAGTCGGTACCAACACTGCGTTATGTATTGCAAGGCGTGCACTCTTCGCTACGCCTTGCCTTTTGACTAACGCAGTCAGGGCACCATTGACTTTGTTCCCGGCAGCGACACGCCTGTCCACATCTAAATCACATCTTCCATCCCGGCTAAAAGTATACAATTTCATTTACCTGTTCTAGACATTCCTGATTTACCCATATTTTACACTTCGTTCTCTCTTCGTCCCTTTCAAATACCAGAACCTTAGTTTTATTAGCATTCAAACGGAGACCTTTAATTTCACATTCCTCTTTCATACACGTGACTAATGCCTGCAGTTCTGCCTCTGATGGTGCAATAAGCACTGCATCATCAGCATACAGCAGACAATTTACTTTTATGTCACCCAATTACACACCCAAACAGCTATCTTTCAGCTTCTGTAAACAGCTGTCGAAATACAGTATGAACAGCCAGGAAGACATGACACAACCCTGCTTTACGCCCGTTTGGACGTTAAACATAGGTGACAGGTCATGCCCTACCCGCACACAGGCTTTACAGTCACAGTAAAGAGACTGTACAGCCCTTAGCAATCGACCATCCACACCATACCCCGGCAACAGTTCCCACATTTTCTTCCTTACAACCTTATCAAATGCTTTCTCAAGATCCACAAAAGCACAGAAAATCTTCTGGTTAGCAGCCAGAAGCTTTTCCGTGATCATGCGGAGAGAAAACATTTGATCCGTGCATCCTCTTCCAGGTCTAAATCCGCATTGTGCCTCCCATAGAAATCTTTCCGATTTCTCTTGCATCCTACGTGTCAAAACCTTCGAGTAAACTTTACTTGCTAAACTGGTCAAGCTGATCGCCCGATAGCACCCGCAGTCAAAATGTGAACCTTTACCTTTATATAAAGGCACAATGACTGCGGATCGCCAATCATCCGGGACATCCCCCGTCCGCCAGCACAAATTGCACAGCAGATGAAAGCTGTCCCAGACGCGAGGCCCACCATACTTGACCATTTCAGCAGTAACTCTGTCTAGTCCCGCAGCTTTACCACATTTCAAACTTCGAATCGCACGTTCAATCTCTTTCATACTGATGACCTCAGTGTCATCGAGGTCCGGGTCTGGCGTACCAGTCACGGCGTCATCCCCGGATCCCTCACTAAGATCATCACACGCATACATTTCTCTATAAAATTCGCTCCATCGCTGCATGACGTCCGATTTTTCTGAGAGGACGTCATTAGTTCTCGAAAGCACTTTGTTCATTCTCAAAGTTCAATTCAAAGATGAAAACGAAAAGTGAATATGTGTCAGATGTGGACACAATATCTATCAGTATATTTCTTCCTGTGGGATGATTTTATAGAAAGAGCAGGCAAACGAGCATGCAACTCATCTGATGGTGAATGAAGACCGCATATACACATCTTTACTACTAGAGGAATTGCAGGTGCATTGCCGGCCTTTAAGGAAGTACTATATATGTTTTTTGAAGGTTCTTATACATATTGGTCGTGATGATTGATAAGAGTTTACATAAAATAGCCTTACAAGGCAGAAAATTGAAAAATAATAGGGTGATAAACCGCCAAGAATTAAGATGGTGTGGACGGTGTCGAAATTTTGTTACAACATGCTTTAGTGAAACTTAGGAGCTGGAATTAATATAAACAATTCCTTGGAGTACGCCTCATGGTAAATGCGATAAGATTGCATACAGATGCAACGTCTTTTTGCGAGGCCCATGGATCAAGCCGATGCGAAGGAACTCGGTCGTCGACGCTTCGAGTCGTTGTTCAATAGATAAAATATATGATAAAAATTTTGTAGCGATAATGAGGAGTAAAATTTATTGTGTGACATGTACCTACTGCGATCGCCAATTCAACAGCCAACTAACGATTACGCCTAATTACTTCAATGTAGGCAACAACCCACCCACTGAGAAGGACGGAGGAATAGGCTCATGACGTAATTGGATAATATAAATAACAAATTAAGATGCATTGTATTGCTATTTAATATCATACTTATATGTAAACTGTTTACAGTGAAAGAAATAAAGTAGGTATAAAGATCTAATTATTGTGTCACCAATACCGCAAACTATTACTTACTCGTAAATCTATCAATGAAATCACCTGTGCGAAGTCGGAGTGGATCTAGCGAAAGTCGGAGTGGATCTAGCGATCCGCTCCGACTTCGCACGGGTGATTTCTGGATCTTGACAACAGTTCTACCTACCGGGTCCAATTGTGAATCGATTAGATCATTCAAGGACCCACTCAACACACACACAAAAAACTTCATCAATATCGGTCCAGCCATTTTCGAGGTTTTGCGAGACTATCGGACAATAGCAATTGATTTTTATGAAATAAGGCAACTGAATTT